TTAAGATGAAGAACAACCATGAACAGAACTGTTGTGGCTTGCACTTTGATCAGGAAAACATCAGCGTGGCAGGTATGAGGAAAACAACCAACACCAATGATTAATCTGTCCTCATCACTCCTGTAAGAGCAATTTGTGCAGACTCTCCATCCTGAGAAATGTTCAAATACTAATGGCACAGGTCCCTCTAAAAATCCTCAGACACGTTTCCCTTCCTTGGATAGAACAGAAGAGATCAGTAACAAAACAGAAGGACTATAGATACCCACAATATATTATTTTTTGCAATTACATGCACACAAAGTCTTTTCCCTGCTGGAAGATGTAAATGGGATCATTTATTTCTCCTCATCTTTAGCTTGGCACCTTCCCCTGAAGTGACAGAGCACAAACTGTTCCTACATCAATGAGCAGTTCCTATCCTCCTATCTGATACACTGCTACCTTGTGTTTATTGCAATAAAAATCCTGAAATTTGAACTTTGCTCCCATCACACTCATTGTAGCGGATAAAGACCTGGGACACTTCCCATCTGTTTGAGTAAGATCACTCAAACAGCAAGCTGCTGTTCAGCTTGGTTAAGCTGGAAAGATCTGACCCCAGAATAACCCAATAAAGTTTGGCAACTGTTTGAAACTGCTAAAAGACCGGAATGTTTTCTCCAGTAGATGACTCAGTATTTTTATTCTCAGACGGAATGGGGACTAGAGAAAAGCTCTGTTCAGGAAAGCCGTACTGGAAACCTTTTCAAAGCACAGAGGTCAGTAAACAGCACAGAAACTCTGCTGCAACTCTTGCAGGAGTCAGTTATCTGCTAATCTACTGGTTTAAAAATAGCTACAAGCGGAAACAATTTTGAGTGATGGGGATGATTTGCTTGATCTTGACTAAAAACCACAAATCCATAGAAAAGCCTAATTGAATTGCTCTTGGTAGGAGATCTTTCTGATGAAAGGTGATGTAATTTGGGGCTGTTGGTAAACAAACCAATATGTTAATTAATGCATATGATTTCCAAAACTTATGGTGAATTAAAAACAAGCCAACTAGAAGACAATCTGAAGAGTCAAACTGATTTCATATACAAGAGCTTTTTGGTGTATGTTTTGTACTACACTTATGGATATGACTTGCATATTGTTTTATCACATTTAGATTTACTTCTAAAGAAAAAAATATATTGAACTCTGCATTTACTTTTATTAATTTTAGGGTTTATATCTGAAATAAGGAAGGTTTATACACTGGCTTTTCACATTTTCAGACATGCTGTTCACTGATGTTTGTCAGGGGTTTCCTTGGAAACAAGCTAAACAATTTATCCCAAGCTCCAGCTCTGCATCTTATGCAAAGAATCAGCTATACAGATTGGGAGGAGAGTAGGGATTTCAATCAGCATTTGGTCGTTCCTATAGTTTACCTGACTCTGAAGCAGATAAATGAAATAGCAAGTTGCTACTTTTCCTTCCCAGATATTTAAAGCCACCTATCTGAAATGGCAAGTTCTCTGGGAATGTTTAGCAGAGTCCGATAGTTAGATGCACTGAGCCTTTCTAAACCCATGAAAAATCAGGGGGATGGAAAGCACTCAGCCCTGAGGACTGGGTCTGTAGCTAGCCTCATGCTCTGCAGAGTGGAGTTCAGGTTCAAAGTTTTTATTGTCAACCAAAGGTGGGCAACATGTATGAATGGAAATGTTTTCTAAGCATAGCCAGGTCAAATATTCATCTTTTACTATGCCTGACAGCATACATAACCTTTTCTTTCTATATTGCTGATAATGAGATGTAGACTAGAGTCTCTATACAACAGTAAGTGATTTTGGAAGGATACTAACCCAGCCTTTAAAAAAAAAAAAAAAAAAATAACAACAAACAACAATTTGGCCTTGGACACTTGATTCTGGTTACTGGATACTGATTCAGCCACTTTAAATCTGCCAGGTCTTTGTTGCTCTCAATGTGTAGGTCCTCAATTTTTTGGCTTCTTTTCTATGTGTGAGTTTTGGAGTCTTGGAAGATAGTAATGAATGCTCCCACTATCTGGTATTTAAGGAACTAGACTAATGAAATGGCATTGTGATGTCAAAGTTTTATTTTTCAGAAAGAGGGGAAGTCCAGCACTTCCTCTGGACACAGGCCAATGGTTGTTCAGAACCAAATCACCAATTTCTGATCACCTGCTCATTTGGCTTGACTGTATCACATCTTGTGTGTTACTGGCAATGAACATCACTTATGCATGCTATCTAAATACGTTAATTATGTTTGGCTGAACCTCCAGTTCCTATTTTAGGTGGATATATTTTTCATATCTTACTCTATTAACTTCAATAAAATCTTGGAATATTGAAGATCAGAATGTTAATAGTGGTACTGGTTTGATCATATAGCTTCTCTCTTTCTTGAGAGATGAGTTCTCATTGTCTGCTCCGAAGACTGAATTGAGAATTTAATTTCTGTACAAAGCTCTGTTTGCTGAGCATATGCTTCTCAGGAAGCTCTGTTTTGGAACATTTGAGAACATGTTTTGGGTTTGATGGTGTTCCCATGCTGTGTCTAATAAATGGAATTAAGGTGGGGTTTTTTCCAGTGCTAGCCTTGCTGTAGTTTTACCACCTTTAAGGTATAGTTATTTGGGATATTCCTGCAAGAGAAAAGCTTAAATCTTCAGTCAGAAAGGTGAAACTTAAATATTTATTTTTAATGGGTTCTTTGAAGGAGACAAATACAACAAATACAACATTCATTACTCCAGACTTTCTTATCCATTTTCTAGTCAGGCCAATGCTAACTACTTTTCCCAGACTACTGGGATTCCTCTGTAATAAATTTCTGAAGTAATTCTTAAATGCTGTGTTCTGTTTACTTCCAGTAGTTATCAGCTGATGTGTCCTGCCCTTTAGCAATGTTTTATGTAAGTGGTTAATCAAGCATTTGGTTTATGGTGCTTTGTTTTGTATCTGTATTTTTGATTTTTGGACAACTCGCATGAACTCATCTGTTCCTTAGTGCCCACCCCAGTGTGGCAGTGATTCAATGTGCACTCACTTCATTAGATGAACAGCACAAACTGAGAGGCACTCAGCTCACTGGCTCGAGGTCTAGAAAAAATAAGCTACACTTTCAAGTTTCTATTTTGTCAGTTCATGTAAAATGTATGAGTGCTGTACTCTTGCAAAAGCCTGAATACCAAAGAGCATTCTCTGATAGAGCTCTGATAAAGCTCCTCATTGATTGCTGATGACTGAAGGACATATGTATTTTCCCCCTGGGATCTCATTGAATACTTTCTGCTAAAATTTTTAAGTCATTGATGGCTTGCCTTGCAGTGACTAGCCCTGTGTGAGGGGCTAGGGCTGGATTTGGAAGATCTTGGTTCACCTCCTTCCTGCATTTGGGTTTTGCCTCCCCTTTTGAAATTTTTCCATCTTGCAAAGAACATTTAACTACAAGACAGCCAAGGAAAAAGCATGTTATGTAAATGCATATTAACTTCCAGCTTGCAAATGGTCATGAATGTTGTTCTCCAGGGGTAGGTATTGGGGCCTGTCCTGTTTAATAGCTTTATCTGTGGCAAGGATGAAAGGACTGAGTGTACTCTCAGTAAGTTTGCAGGTAACACCAAGTTGGGAAGAAGTGTCTATCTGCCTGGAGATAAGAAGGCCCCATATTAGGATCTGGACAGGCTGGATCACTGGGATGAGGCCACTGGGATCAAGTTCAACCTGACCAAGTACCAGATCCTTCCTCAACAACCCCAGGTAATGCTACAGGCTTGGGGCAGAGTGGCTGGAAAGTTGTGTGGAAGAAACAGATCTGAGGCATTTCATTGGCATTTGGCTAAATGTGAGCCAGCAGTGTTCCCAAGTGGCTAAGAAAGCCAATGGAACCCTGGCTTGTACCAGAAATAGAGTTACCAGCAGGGGCAGGGAGGTGACCATCCTTCTGTATTCAGCACTGGTGATGCTACACCTCAAGTACTGTGTTCAGTTTTGGGCCTCTCGCTACATCGATGCCATCTGGAGCATGCCCAGAGAAGGGCAGTGAAACTGGTGAGGAGTCTGGAGCACAACTCTTATGGAGAGTGGCTAAGAGATCTGTGATTGTTCAGTCTGGAGAAGAGGAGGCTCAGGGGAGACCTTACCTCTCTCTACAGCTGCCTGAGGTTGTGGTGAGGCAGGGGTTGCCCTCTTCCGCGTAACAAGCAATAGGAGCAGAGGGGATGACCTCAAGCTGTGCTGTGGGAGGCTCAGATTGGATACTATGAAAAGTTTCCTCTTCGAAAGAGTGTTCAGGTGCTGGAATGGGCTGCCCAGGGAGAGGGTTCAGTCACCATCCCTGGAGGCATTCAAGAAACATTTAGATGTTGTACTGAGGGGCAAGGCTTAGTGTGTAAATATTGGTAGTAGATGTACAGTTGGACTAGATGATCTTGGAGGTCTTTTCCAACCTTATTGATTCTGTGATTCTAAACTCTTTATAAATGATCAAACACCTGGCTGGGAGGTGAGCATGAGCAGGTGTGACTGCAGTGAACTGAGCTGCTACAGGCCTTCAAAATCTTTTTAAACTGTCCTGGAATCTACCTTTAACAATAACACAAATCTGATGACTGTGCACATCTACTGCCTTAGTGGCAGGCAGTAGTATAGTTTGATATTTTAATTTTTTACTCACATTTTCTACGCCAAGAACTTGAATTATTTCCTTAAATTCAGACTATTTTCAAAACTTGGTAATACTTTCACACATTTAGAATCCTCTCTGAGTACTACACTATGAAGAACATTGTTCCCATCAATCACAAAGACAATTTTGATTGATTCAAACTTTACAGCTGGGATACTGAGCTATTTTGGCAAGCCTTTTCCTCCTGGACTTTTTCTACAAAAACAAGTATATTTGGAAGAAATTAAATACAAGTTAGCAACTTTGTCTCAATATAAGTACACTGGACACACATCCAAACATAAAAAACATTTACAGTTTTTACTTACTTTCTTTGTTTTGTCCATTGCTTTCAGTATAGTAATGTTTAATTCCTCCAAAACAGAGAGAACATTTTCATACTCTCCTAAGTGCTGCGAAAAATATTCTGAAGGAAGAAGAAAATCCAAGTCACCTATTCACTACTGGAAAATTCAATATTTCATCAAATATCAATATATTCAAGTCTGAAATTAGTTATGATATTATTATTAGCTATCTAAATATATAAAATGATCAAGGCTTACAATGAAGGGGACGATTTTACTTTGAAATTTTGATAATATTTTCCTCAAAACCATTAATGAATATTTAAAATGCCAAAATTGGTGTTTCAGAACATTTCCTTTCAGTAAGTAATGCCAAGTCAACAAGAAGCAGACGTATTTTCAAAATATGTACATCTTATGTCTAAAATGAATTTTCAGTATTTACTTCATAGTTATTATCAGGAAATGAAGTTTTCTTGTATTTCTTGTAAATCTGATTATAATGCTACACAAACGAATAGCTGTTGTAAAACCCTTAGGGGAGATGAAATCAAGTAAGGGCTGTTTTAAGCTGGGTTCAGCTGAGGCCCAGTGTTTTTCTGATGCAACCATGAGTTGCTCGGTTGTGCTTCTGAAACCAGGAACTGCAAATATATTTTCAATAAATATAATACATCCAAGGTATTTTTAACAAAAACAGTGAAAAGAACATTAATTGTGTATGCCTGTTCTTTCTGCTAAAATATCTTAATTTGAACCAAACCAGAGGGCATTCTTCAAAGTATGTCAAGCATAGAACAGAAATAAATCTGTAAAAATTGTATTTACTAATTTTCTACATATACTTGCGTCTGGATGAAGTTCCATTAAGTAAATAAAATTATCACTGTATCAACAGGCTTTAGAGATTCTGCTGCATAAACTAAGGGCTCTCACAAAGGCACAAAAACACAAAGGAAATCTGACCAATGTTCATGAGTTTCGCAGGGGAATCATGAAAGATTTCAGTAGCCTGGTGACAAAGCCTGGTATTGCTGAGAGACTGAATGAAATGATGTAGAAAGAAAACACGTTGCGCATTCATGCCCTGGAAATGAAACTTCACTTCCTAGGAGTTATGGAAATAAGTCAGAGGAAGCTGTAGACTAAACGCACGTTGGGTAAACTCAGCATCAGATTCACAAATGAGAAACACCCCAGAGGCAATCTGTGAAAGACTTACAAAGGAGTTGCAGAATTCAGGTATCATGAGGATTGCTGAAGCTGCCCATAGTTAATCAAAATGGACAGAAAAAAAATCAGCACTGAGCTGAGACCTCAGCCAGCTCTCTGGCTGACTGGTGGGCTCGGTTTGTGGGGTGAGCACTGAGCAGGCCTACAGTGCACAAACCACCCCATAAGCTGTGTATAGCTCCTAGAACAAAGCCCCATTCTTCCTTGGCCAGGTTGGTACAGTTTTGGCCAGATTCTGAGCTAGCAGAAGTCATCACAGCATAACTGACTTTGGCTAAGTCACTAAATATTTATGTACTGCATGCTGAGATGCCCCTCAATGGGTTCCTTCTGCCTACAAGGTGACAAGCAGAGTCACCTTGTAGGCAGATACATCAGCTGGCACTCAAATCTACAGAGTTTTCAACTTTTAAAAGACTTCAGCATCACCGACTTTGGGAAAATTCAATAGGCCACTGTTTGCTGATATCTTTTCCCAGAAATAGCCTGCTTTTGACAAGCAAAACTATCTCTTTGACACATCCTGTGGGAGGACTTAAAGAAATTTTCTGTAAATACTTTCTACTGCAAGCAGCACCCCTAAGTCGTGGAAAAAATCTTCATGACTCACAGCCGGGATCAGGAACACAGGCAGGTCAGTGGGCCACAGTGGGGCTTTGCAGGAAGTTTTGGTGATGAAGAATGACAGTGTGTCCAACTGCTGCTCATACAGAACTGAGTTGGAGGCAGATAATGTACTGTCCTCCAGAGGAATATGAAAATGTTTTTCAAAATGTCCCACACACTCCTACCTTTGAAAACAATCAACTAGAAAAGGAAAGGAAATCAAGATAAGATCTCTTCACTAGAACCAAGTTCTTAAAGCTCAGACAGTCTGAGGCATGGATTAAGAAAAATACTTTCAAAGCAATATCTGTATCGAATGGATGGCTTTCTGAAAGATTATAAGCCGTCTGCATTCTTCAAGTGTAGATTTTCAATGTAATTTACATATTTTCTGTTTGAGCCACAAAGGATAAACTGAAAGAAATATCCTTATAATACAGAATATGTTCACTTGCACAGGGCTGCTGCAGGCAGAGATGATCTTCTTGCTTAAAGAGGAACTTACCAGAAAGCTCTTCAGTGTCAAGATTGCTGGAAAGATAAGAGGATAGTGGGTTAGTGAGCTCAGTCATGGTGGCTGTTGCACTGATAGATAGCAGGACTCAAAGATCAGTTTTGACAGGGATGTGAAGCTCCCCTGCCTGGGCTTTAGCTTGGCCCTTGCTGCCTTGTGTAGGCACCTCCTGAGCCGTGCTGCAGCCTTTTTGCCCCACAGCCTTCCTTCCCCATCACGTTTCCTCCGCTTCAAGACATGGCACCTTCCTACTCACCAACAACACCTGCCCAGTCCCTGAGCATTACGCTGTGGAGACTCAGAGCTGTCAGAAATCCATTTTAACACCAGAATTTGTGCTTTTTTTTCCCCCCCTACCTGCACTCCTTTTCTGTGGCTGTCATGCTGGACAGCATGGCTGTGCTTAGCCTTCCATGCTAAACAGCAAAAACCCAATGTCTGTCTTCCATTGGTGTTTCTCCCACAAGATGAAGTACAACAGAAGGACAAAACCAGAGATAGATTATGTGTGCTGAGAAGCTGTAAGTCTTTCTGGCCATACAAAACAGTTTCACCAACAAAATGAAAATAATAGTTGCACTGCCATATTGTCATGAAGTACACACATAGTATAAGCACATGAAGGTAAGCAAATATTCTTTAAAACTGAAATCTGTTTATTTCAAACAGATTTCATCCAGACTTTAAAGCATTCTTTCCTCTCTGAGGTTTTAAGAATCAAAAGAGAAACCATTTGAGCTGCAGCTCAGTGCTGAAGGTTGGCATATTGACTTTTCTCAGGGAAGAGAAGCTGATTATTAAACTTAAAAACATGAATGTCCTTCTTGAATCTTGCTGATGGGTGAATGTTGAATGGCTAACTGCAGTTAGGATTTTTTCACTTATCTTTTTAATGGGATTTTTTAAATTGACTTCTTAATAAAATTATGAAACGATATTACCTTACAGTCATTTTCACAAATGCTAACTTTCTGACTTATTTATGAGAGAGACAGAAACAGACAGAAATTTCAGGATCCTGAGTTCTCAAGAACTTGCATAATCAGGGCTCTGGTCTGAGCATTTTTAACTGATGATGTAAATGAAGCTTTACCAAAACTCTCATTAACTAAAGGTGACCTGAACTGCATTTGAATGGACCAAGCAGGATGGCTTCAATGGGGAAATTCAAAGCCTGTAAGAATTAGTGCTGAGAAACTTAACCTGGATCAGTAAACTGTTTGATGGGAGTAGTGTCTATGAATACTTAAGGCTGTTCACCGTGGATCACTCTGACATCACTGCTTAACCATGGCTGATCTCCTTGCAACCACGTCTACAGTCAGCAGTCATTTTTGAAACACTGCAGATGTTTGCTCCCCAAATGCAGACTGAGATCTGATAAATGACCTCAGCCAAAAAGCAGCAACAGAATACCAGGATCTTACATGGCAGGAGTTTGCTGCTCTGATGCCTGCGTCTTGCTCATTTTCCCCACATTTTCTGCCCTTTCACATCTTCTGTGCTAATGCCTTCTCTTTGAAAATAACGTTTCTGTACTTTTCAATTTACATCTTGGAAACGGTGGTTAAAAAAAAAATCCCTTAATATTGCAAGCCAGTCAAATTTGCTTGATGTTTTCAAATCTCACATTAAAATTCATTCTGGTCCTTGTTCTTCATCACTATCCTCAGCAGTGTGATACTAATAGAGCACTACGACGTGGCTCAGAGGATTCCAGCATCAGAACATCTGCGTTAGTCTCACTAATAAAAGTGATGCACTTGAAAATGGACTACAATTGAAAATGGAGAAATATTTAGATGCTGAATTTATTTTCAATTAGAATTGGGCACTTGAATAATTAGAAAATTACTGTCTGAAGTGATTTGTGCAACAGCACTCAAGAAGCCTGTGACAGAATATGACAAAAAGAATATGGATTTCACTCCAGTATCCTCATGGTGTTTCCTTTTCTGTTATAAACATCTTTTGAGGCTCCATTGTTCTTGGTGCACTACTGGGAGGTGATGCCATTCTAGGCAGAACACTGTAATTTTTCATGTCACTGATTATTTCATGCTCTCAGAAATATAACGTTTCATCATACAACATGGCTGTCAGCAAACCTGGTGTTCTTTTTCTGCACACAAACAACTTTGAGCAACCTTCAGGATGTTACAGAAGCAATTAAAGAAGTTTGAAATATATTTAAGAGTAGAGGAGCGAGGCACAGACCAAGGGGCTGTTTGTGCAACTTGGTGCTTGGGTTTACGGTGGGCGCCTGTTCATCATTTCAGTGCGTATACACGCCAAGGGTGCTTCTGCTCAGACCTATAATCTAACTGCTCTGAACATGTAATTTGCAATATTTGCTGGATGACGCACATCCACGCTCAGGCGCTCTGCTCCTGCTAAGTGCCCAAAGGATGGGGTGAAGCCAAATGCATTCACATCACATCAGCACAATCATTTTTTAAACCTCTGCGCACTGTTTGCTTTCTGACTGCTAAATGCCATCCTTTTCCATGCCTTACTGCATCTACAATGCTCTCTACCTAACAACATGAGCAATTTTTAAAGATCTCCTGCAAATATGCTACTGTTCGATAAAAAAAAAAAAAATTGGTATTATCTGCTGCTCAGTGACAGACGTATAGGCAAATTCATTTGGCCAAAGTGACTGTGGTATAGAATGGAGGCATGTGAAGCAGCTGTGATGGCTCCCCAGTTCTCCACACCACTATCAGCCATGGGTTGGGGCTGGCCAAAGCAGGAAGGTAGAAGCCATTCCACCTATCCACTGATGGGCAGTGACATCTCTTCAGCAAAGGAATAACATGCAGTGTGGACTCTCTTCATCTACAGCAGTTATTTTATTGAAGAACACAATACTATATTTAAGATTTAATGAACTAAATTCTTTTAGGATATCCACTGCCTCTACAATTGTAACTGAAGAAGGATAGTGTGTCAGGTCTCCATTCTCAGGACTGAGAAGGATTGATTTCAAAGGCCTGAACCAACTCTTTTATTGTGCCCATTTGCACATCTCTGATAAATTTGGTTTTAGAGAGGAAAGCTCAAGGTTGGCATCTCCTGTTGTTAAGCAGAAGCATATAATTTGTGAATGAAAGGAATGTCATGATAACTGTGCAAGGGCAGCTGAATAGTCATCTGTGGATGTTCTCAGCCAAAAAGCTGTGAGCTCTTTGCAGCACATCTTGCATAACATCCCACTTCAAGTCAGCCAAATGAGATACTTGCTCCAACACTACAGAGAGTGTTGTGTCAAGGAGACTTAGAATATGTGTACTTGCATTTTAGGGACATTCTGCCTAATATCTCCTTTGGAACAGCAATGAGTCTTTTTGCTCAGGTTTGTTCAAAGTTTCTTATAATTGGAGGCAAAGCTGCTTTCTGCTATTAATGAGATCACAGAATCATAGTATCAATAAGTTTGGAAAAGATTACTAAGATCACTTAGTCCAATTGCTGACCCTTCCCCACTGTGCCCCCAATGCCACATCTACCCTTTTCTTGAACACCTCTAGGGATGGTGATTCCACCACTTCCCTGGCAGCCTGTCCCAATGCATTACACAAGGAAGAGAAGAAAGAGGGGGCAAAATGAAACAGGGCTCAGGGACCAATCCCTGGAAAGCCAAACTTCTTGCTTCCCCAAACACATTACTGCTTCAGCCCCAGGGCTAACTGGGCCACACATCATCTGGTTTCTCAAATACAGATCGGCTTCTGCAGCTCTGAGATGGGCAGCGGGACTGTGGGCTGTGTTACTGTCCCAGATTTTGCTGCACTAAATAACTGTACAGCTTGCTTATGGTTAACTTCAGACCAAGCTATAACTTCAGTGTTGTCACTTATTGCTCTGCATGTGGCAGGGACAGAGGGGAGAGTAAAGGATTTTTCCTGCCAGCAACTTCCCCAAAAAACCACCCTTGCCCTTCTCATTAGGCAAGATACAATGAACTTCATGGATGGCTGGCCACCTTAATGACTACAGCACACTTGCCTGTGTTTCTAAAAGCGCTTTTTAATGTTATTAAAAGTTGCGGATGCTAAAATCTCTGGAGAACTGTGCAGTGGCTGCAGAACCATTTGCTAGCAGATTCTGAATCACATCAGCCCAAACAGGGAGACAAAAGTCAGCATGATGATGGCTCTTTTGCCGTGGGTGGGATACACATCAGGGTTTTCACCTTTCAGGAGATGATAACGATGTTTCAACTTTGGAGTTTGTTCCAAAACAATTTTTCTCAAATGGAAGCTACCCCTACCATTAAACAGTGAGCTCACTGCTGATGTCTTCTGGAGAACGGATCTGAAATGAAACCTTGTAAGTCAGTTCCATTTAGGACAATGCAATTGAAATGGCTTGTTACATTTTGATCGTTCCCGTGTGACTGAGTCTCTTATTTTCTGCAGAATACTGAATTTTACATTAAAAATAACCATTCACGTGGAAAATTTCCAAGCAACTCTATTTGCATCTTGTCTGTGTGACTGGAGGTTCTGTGTTGGCATCAGAACCCTGTCAATCAGTCATTACACTTCTTCTATTCAGTCATGAAATGCTGAACTGTATAATTAACTCATTCTGAACAGTATTTTCCCTTTTTCTCTGCACTTCATTTCCAAACTGATTTTTGTAGCTACCATCTTTAAAAGACTGAAGATTGAAGTCAATACCTGCAATTACATCTCTTAAACAGCAGCAAACACACCTTCCTCATGTCAGGGCTGCACCATGTACCTGAAATTGCTGTTCACTCAAAAATATAGCTTTAAAAATGGGCAAAAGCTAATGTATATTTTCCTCCTTTGTGTTTTGTTGTTGTTTTTTTTTTTCTTTGTACTGAATAATTCAATTTTGAAAAAAAATACTTTTGGCTCACTTGCACATCATGTTATTACAGAGCCTGTCAGTATCTCATACTGTTTTTTAATCAATCTTTTTTGTTTCTTGATTATATATCCTAGTTCATTATTTTTTCATTGTACTTGTATTGGACAGCAAT